AGGAATCCTGATGTTCTCTGCCTTGCTTTGGTGCCTAGAATTGTTTTTGCTATTTTAAGTACCTTCTGGTACCAAATGAATTCTAGGCATGTTTTCTCTAATTCTGTGAGGTATGCTTATGATATTTTGATTGGGATTGCATTAACTTGTATAACATTTTTGGAGTATGACCATTTTCACTATGTTGGTTCCTCCTATCAAAAGCAAGGGATGCCTTTCAAATTCCTGACATCCTCTTCAATTTCCTTTTCTAGAGTACTGTAGTTTTCAATGGAGAGATTTTTTTACTTCCTTTGTTAGATTGTTTCCTAAGTATTTCATTTTAGTGACACTCTTGTGATAGGTGTTTCCATAATGTCTCTTTTACTGAATTTATTATTCGTGTACATAAATGATATGTTTTTGACTTTTGACTTTATATCCAGCTATGCTACTGAATTTGATTATTAAATCTAGAAGGTTTTGGTGGAGTTTCTGAGATCTTTGTAGAGTGTCATATCTTCAAATAATGATAATTTACCTTCTTTCTTTCCTATCCATATTCTTTTTATATTTTTTCTTTGTCTGATTACTCTAATATTTCCAGAAATGTCTTGAATACAGAGATAGTAGTGGACATCCTTGTCTTGTTCCTGATTGTACAGTGAAAGCTCTCAGTTTATGACCATTTACCATGATGCTCGCTATTTGTGTACAAGAATGCTATTGATTTTTGAGTGTTGACTTTGTATCCAGCAATGTGAGTGAATTTGGTTATTTAATCAGTAAGTCTTGTTAGACTTTTGGGAGTCTTCTATGTAGAGTATTATGTCATACACAAATGATGATAATTTAACTTTTTCCTTCCCTATCCTTATTTCTTTTTAAAGTTTCTGTTGTCTAATTGCTTTGGCTATTGTTTCCAGAACTATATTAAATAAGAGTAGTGATAGCAGAATCCTTGCCTTGTTCCTGGTTTAAGAATTAAAGCTTTCAATTTTTGACTATTTAGTATGATATTGGTTATTGGTTTGTCCTATGTGGCTATTATAATACTGAGATAAAGACCATCTATTCCTATCTTCTGTAGATTTTTTTTTTATCATGAATTGGTGTTAAACTTTTTCAAATGCTTTTTCTGCATCCATGGAGATGATCATGTGGTTTTTGTCCTTTGCTCTGTTAATATGGTGTTTTACATTTTTTGATATGTGTATGTTGAACCATCCCTGCATCCCTGGGATAAATCCTACTTGGTCATGTTGTATAATTTTCTTGATGGTTTGCTGCATTTTGTTTGCAAATCTCTTATTGAGGATTTTTGCCTCTATGTTCACTAGGGTGATTGACCTGTAGTTGTCCTTTTTGGTTGGGTCCTTCTTTGATTTTTGTAGAAAGCAATACTTGCAACCAAGAATGACTTTGGGGGTATTGCTTCCATTCCATTAAAGAGTTTGAGGAGTAATGACATTAGATCTTCTCTAAATTCCTTGTGGAATTCATCAGTGAATCCATCAGGGTCTGGGCTTTTCTTTGTTGGTAGGTTCTTAATCACATCTTTAACTTTATTGACTGATATTAGGTTGAGAATTTTTATATTTTTCTTCATTCAGCTTTAGTTCATATGAATCTAGGAATCTGTCCATTTCTTCTGTTTTCCATCTTATTAGAATAAAGGTTTTTGAAATAAGTATTCATGATAGTCTGGATTTCTACAAGATCAGTTTTGATTTCGTCCTTTTCATTCCTAATTTCATGAATTTGAGTCTTTCTTTTATTTGATGAGGTTAGCTAAGGGTTGTCAGTTTTATTTAATCTTTCAAAGAACCGAGATTCTTTGTATTGTTTTCTTAGTCTCCATTGTATTAATTTATGCTCTGATCTTTCCCTCCTTCACATGAGCTTTGGGCTTGGCTTGTTCTTCATTCTCTACTTTTCCCCCAAAGACTTATGTGCAATATTTGAACTTTTACGATGTATTTTGTTCTTTATTTTTTAGTGAAATTTACATTTCTCTAGCTCTCATTTGTTAATATTTCCAAATGCATCACTTGACTGTCTAACAAGGTATAATCAAAAATTTTTTAATTTAAAAAATTATTACAGTTAAACAGATATTTTCATTAGTCGCCCCTTAAACTCCTTCCCCTTGCTTCCAACACATTTATCCCATTGTTCTTGCCACTTTCTGAAGTATCCTGGAAGTTTTTTTTTTCAATGTCTTTGCTTGATGTGATTAAAATGGAGTAAGTCCCTGACTTATGAATGAGTCACATTCTAGGAGAACATTCACAAGTCAGATTGTTAGTCCGACAAAGTGCATCTTATACACTTTTAATACAAATATATAATGTAAAGCATAGAAAAACCAAACACACATAGTACAGGTAGAAACAAAGGAACTGAGTGAGTCACTCCTTTCTCTCTACCACTGCACTCTAATTATCCTTGCTTCCATAATACTAAAGCAAGGAAGTTGTGTGAGCCACTTCTCCTCTCTCCCTTCAACCACAAATACACACCACCTAGTGATTATCCAGGCTTAAATTTAGGAGGTCTTGATGCCAGAAGTAGCAGATGACTGACATGAGTGAGAGAGGCAGTAAGAGATACCTAGGATCAGTAGTGTTTTTTAATACAGATAGCCTGAGTTATCAAGTCCTCTATTTTTGCTTCAACTTTTCACCTGTTCTTGCTGCTTCCATATTGTGATCTTCAGTAACTGTAGCTACTTATTACATACTATAAAGTGTACATTTGGCAAGTCTTTCCTTGTTACACATAAGAACCTAGACTATTTTTGGTCCACTCAACTGTAACACACACATACACAAACATTGTAACGAAAATATTCTTACTTTTAAATTAACTTAAAAAGGTGGTAGAGCACAGTGAACTACACCATTACTTTTGTAATTTGTTAGCATCTACAAATGTTGTAATGTGAAGTTCTTTTTATCTATGAAAGCTCACAACTCATTCTTAAATTGGGCACTTACTATACAACAAATGCTGTTTCTGAGTGTCACCCAGTGAAAAGTCAGGCTCAGAAAAACATAACAGTGTTTCCTCATCTACCTTTTTCACCAAATCTGCCACTCATATAGGGGAAATGCTAGATGTCAGATATGCTCAGTCGTGTTCCCCAGAGTGAAAGAATAAATTTTAAGGAACAATGGAGGTTAACAGTAGGATAATTTATTGGAGAAAAAGAAACGGACAATAGAAATAGCTCTTCAGGGACAGGGGCAGTCCCAAACGGATTACCTGTTCTTCTCTTCCTAGAAGTTTGAGGCTCTATATTAGGTTGTCTATTTAAGCTTGTTCTGTTTTCCTGATGTGAGACTTCATCACTATAAATTTCCCTCTTAGGACTGCCTTCACTGTGTCCCATTATTTCTGTTATGTTGCATCAGCATTATCATTTAATTATAGATATTATTTAATTTCTTCTTACCCTTATGCTTTTTTGTTGTGAATAGCTGAGATTCACTTGATTTATCACAATGAAAGTGTAATTTATTATGAAATGAGATAATTATAACTATAATCCATCAAAAGGGACCATCTTTTCTTTAGCTCTTTCATGAGCAGTAAGGAGCTTTTCTTTTATTGTCATGTCCGCTTATTACCTTTTATCCTATTGTCTTTCCCTCTGTCAGTCAGTTTGGCCTGCTTATGAATAGTTGATATCCAGTAATAACTTTTGATTGAAGTTGCTTTAGCTTGACACAGACTTGATTATGCCTCCTGCCTCTTTCTTCCAATTTCTGTACTACCCTCTAATATAGCTCAGTATCTCTATGTCCCTTGACTAAAATTTTCAGAAATATGAATCTCTTCTAGCCCATTTCTTCAAGCCAACCTACAACATCAACAATCCTGAGCAGTCAATGTTTGCTTGCACTCTTTTGTCAGATGCCAACACTTGGTCCAATTTGCTATGGCTAAAGGTGAGATAGGATTATTGAGTATATGATGTGAAAATTTATCCCGTAAGTGAGACCTATGGGTGAGGCAGGTTGTCCTTAGAAAACAATATTGGCAGGTGGTTCCAGATTTGTGTCTCTGGCTGGAAGAGTAAAATGACTGCATGGGTTCCACAGAGCTTCCCTGCAGTGGCTAAATGAATTAAACAAAAGGGGAATAAAGGCAAGGAGCACAGTGGAAGGTATTATAAGCCAAAGGATGGAGTGATGCTTGGCTTGAAACTGAAATAATATTTTGAAGAAGAGAGAATATTGTTCTACTCACCAGAAGCCCACTTAGCCTGTGTTCTGTGTTGATCTCAGTATGGCAACTGACCCCAAGTTACAAACATCGAAATCTATTTTCAGCTTCTAGAGACCTACCTACATGACAGAAAAATTTTGACTGCAGGAAAGTGTAATGGTCCTTACATTGTTATTCTCCATAAATCAGACCAAGTTAGAAGAGGCTGGAGAAGCCAATTTAGCCTTATGACTTGTCAAAATATTTTGATTGTAAAATACATATGGTCTTATCTCAACTTCCAATACTACTCTTGTTTTTTAATTTTAAAGGCAAAGAATGAAAACATATTAACAGACACACAGACATTTACAAAATAACACAAAAAATATTAGCAATACAGGATTTCATACAAGGTGATTGGAAACTAACAAGAGTTGTTGTATTATATATTGATGTCTTCAAATTGGTTACTCAGATAAATGTAGGCCTATAAGATTGATCAAACTATTAAACATTAACTGTTCCTTTTAATAAAGCAATAGAAATCAATAATTCAATTATCTTAGCTAGCCTGTGCATACATATATACATATGAGTTGTCCCTTTCACTGTCTACTACCTTTCACACCTGTGGCATGGCAAAAAAAAATGACTGAGTGGCACTATTGCAGAAATTTAGAATAAAGGCGGAAGTGTAAGCTCTGAGTGGAGGAAGTAGCATTTAAGCTGAGCTAGTCCAGGCTGGGTATTGGGGTGACAAAAGATCTGTTATTCATTTTCTACCTGTGGTTGTGACTTTTTTGCAGGACTGCTGATAAGCTCGGGCTGTGCTTTATATCCCTTAGGATGGAATAGCCCAGAGATAATGCAAACCTGTGGAAATGTCTCCAATCAATTTCAGTTAGGTAAGGTGTCCTGGGCAGGATGGCAGCAATGGCCTATGGGTAATATGTTTTCCAATACTTTACTTCTTGGAGAAGTCTCTACTTCTTAGTCGTATTTACCGGAAGCTCTCATGCTGTTAGCTTTTGGAAGGTGGTGGTTTGGCCAATTTATCTGATCTTTATAAGTCAAAAGAGTTGGCTTTAAATCCTCCTTCTTTAGCTCTCTTTCCATGTGACTTATGCATTTTTACTTAGAGTTCTTTGATTCCCTTGCAGCAACTTTGTATACTGAGGAATTTGAAAAATTTGGAGACTAATGCTATGATAGCTTCTGACTAAATCCTAGCTACTATTAGTGTTTCCATCTAGGCACTATTTTCCAATTACAAATCAACAATCTCTCTTATCAATCCCAATGAGGCTATAACTAGAGGTAATTTAGTTTACTTGAAGCAAGGTAAACTGGATTAAGTGTCAGAAATTGTTCCTAGTGGTAAGAGGTATTATTATTGGAAGAGGTAATAGATATAGGTCTAGATTAGATCATTCTCTGCCACCTCACAGTATAGTTTAGGATTACGATTGTGAGTTGATAATATATTAGACTCTAATTGTAAGCCTTTTAAGTATTTCCCCAACCTATCATCCTATCATGATGGAAGGGATTAAAAGAGGAAATATCTAAGTTTCACTGAGCATTCACAATTGTAGGAAAGGATTTGGGAACAGTGAGACCACCTTTCCACTCAGCTTGTACTCCAATACCGTCCTTTGTTTCTGCTGTCTTATACTGTTTTGTGAGTCTTGTCTGACCCATGTTTGGAGGAAGGAGTTTTTCTCTGTACAAACATAACATGTGGGCAATGCTATATAGAAAATGTGACAAATATGAACCCTGGAATGTCCAGCGTTCTGACTCAGAACAGAGATGACTGGCAAATATAACAGTCCTGCCACAAGGGAAGGAATGAAGAAATACTTGGAGGAAGTAATGAAGACAAAGAAAGCAAGCCATTGGTCTTGCCAGACGGACCTGAGAAAGTTTAAAATATAACACATTTCTTCTCACCTGTTATATTTATGATTCTCCACTTAAAAATAATACTTTTATTGATTACAGTTCACACACCATAAAATAGAACCTCTGTAAGTGTATAAGCAGTGTTTTTTGGTATATTCACAAGGTTATATAATCATCTCCACTCTCCAATTCCAGAACATTTTCATCAGCACAAAAAAGAACTACTTCCCCATTCATAGCCATCATTACTTCTTCTTTTAACCCATGGCTACTACTATTCTAGATGTTTCATAGTCTAGATCATATAGCAAGTCTTTTGAATACTCTTTTTTCAATTACCATAATGTTTTCAAGATTATCCATGCTATAGTATGTGTCTCTACTTTATTCATTTTTATAGCTCAGTAGTATTCTATGGTTATAGATATACTACATTTTTATTCATTTATCAGTTGATGGATACAGTTTTTGCTCCCACATTTTGACTCTTTTGAATGTTGTTGTGATGAATATTTTTGTACATATTTTTCTGTGAGTATACATTTTCATTTTGGAGTTTGTTTTGAGGAGCAGGTTTCATGGGTTAAATGGTGACTTCATGAGGAAGCCTTTTGAGTAACTGCCAGGATTTTTCCCAAAGTGACTATGCTACTTTACATTCCCATTAGCTATGTACACATGTTCTCAATTCCTAACATCTTCACCAAAATTTATTTTCCTCTTTTGTTATGGTGATCCTTATGGGTATGAAGCCATATAGCATTGTGATTTTGATTTTCAATTCCCTAGTGACTGATGATGTTAAGTATCAAAAGATACTTATTGATACAAGAATTTATTGGCTATTTAGATTTCTTCTTTTGAGAAATGTCTATTCAAATCCTTTATGTCTTTTTAATTATTATTTGTCTTTTTTGTTGAGTTATTAAAGGTTTTAATGTACTCTGAATACTGGACCATTTTCAGATATATAATTTGCAATATTTTATTGTACTAATCTGTGGGTTATCATTTTACATTCTTGATGACACTCTTTGAAGTTTGAAAGTGTTTAAATTTTGATGGTATATTGACAAAGTTCCAATTACCTATTATTTCTTGGTTGCTTTTGGTGTCATAGCTAAGAGTACACTGAAAAATCCAAACATTATGAGATTTACCTCTATATTTTCTTAGAATAATTTTATATTTTGGTGTCATATAATTTGATTCTGTACCATTTTGAGTGAGTTATTGTGTAAGTCCAAATTCATTCATCATCATGTGGATATCCAGTTATGACCATGCCATTTATCGTAAGACCTATTACCTTCTCCTCATTAAGTGATCTTGGTGCTCTTGTTGCAAATCAATTGTCCATAAAGTGCTGGTCTATTATCTGGAGTCTTATTCTACTCCACTGATTTGTATGTTTATTCCTATGCCAATACCACACTGTGGACTAGCATAGTGAGTCTTTTTTCTCAAAATTATTGGGATATCCTGGGTATTTTGCATTTCCATGTGAACTTTAGGTTCAGCTTGTCAATTCCTGCACAAAAGCCAGCTGACATTTCTTAAAATAGAGTACGTGCTTAATCTATACATTAGTTCAGGGAGCATTATAACTGTAATATTGTTTTCTAATCTATGAACATGAGATGACTTTTCATTTAGTTAAGTTATGTTTAATTCTCAATGATATTTTGTAATTTTCATGATAGAAATTTTTTACTTCCTTGGTTAGATTTGTTCCTAAGTATTTTATTTTAAAATTTATTTTAACTGACAAATAATAACTATATATAACATATTCCCCAAAATATACACACACTTCAGAAAAGGAAAAACTTGTATAAATATTTAAATATGGAGCTGGGGATTTATCTCAGCGGCACAGCGCCTGCCTGGCAAGCCGGAGGTCATGAGTTTGATTCCTGGTACCGGAAAAAAAACCAAAAATAAATAAATAAATAAATAAATATACACCAGACACTGACCCCTAGTAAATTGACTGCTTTATTCAAATACACGTTAGGATTTTCATGTTATCCCAATAAATTTAGTACTAAAATATTTATACAATTTTTTCTTTTCTGAAGTGTGTTTACATTTTTTTGTGGACTCCATATATTTATTTGTGGGATATAATATGATGTTATAAATCATATGTATATTGTAGAGTACTCAAATCAGGCTAATTAAGTTTTTCTTATTTTATTTTCAGATTTCTAATTGTTACTATATAGAAATACAAATGGTTTTCTATACTCACATTTTATCTTGAAACATTAACAGTTATATTAAAGTACTTGGCACAATATTTGGCTCACAGTAAATGGTGGCCTTTGAAACATATCAGAGAAATGTGCTAGCAGATAGGCTATCGACAGACAGCATTTATTTGGACTCTTCTGTAGCCTCCATAGTCTACAATGTGATCTTTATTTTGGAAAGACAGATGCACAGAGCTGAAGAACACATAGTCTCTACCACAGAATTAAAGATTTTTACCTGACTTGCTTGAAACAGATGAAGTGGGTAGGTAAGAGAATAGACACAGGCGTTGTCAATCTGTCAGAGTAAAATGTGTTTCTCACTCTGACACTGACAGACCTCTACAGCTTCCAGTATAAAAGGGTGTCATTCATGTCTTTAGCCCCTCTTATCCTATGTTTTCCATCATAGGTATCCTGAACAACACATACAATGTATTTTAGTCCTAATTTGAATGATTAAAGATATAACTTTCATTAAGAAAATAATCTTGATATCTTCATTAAATTAAAGACAGTTGCATCTGGGACATAGCTCAGTGGCACAGTGCCTGCTTGGCAAATGCAATGTTCTGAGTTCGATTCCTGGTACTAAAATAATAATAATAAAAAATAAAACATAGAAATAGCAGTAATTTTTTGACTCTTTTTCCTTACAGAGGTTGTTTCTATCTGCAATCTCTGAACCCCAAATCTTAGCTGGCTTATAGTGGCTTTAACATAATTAATTAGATCTAAGAGTTTAGACTGAGATTCTCTTGTCAAAAATGCTGTAGTTCAAAAGTATTTTGGAATAGATAGATAGAGGTAGATAGTTTGGTATCTTAGGGTTGGGACTCAAGCCTAGAAATGAAATTCATTTATGTTTAATATACAACTTATACATATAGGCTAAAAGTAATATTATGCAATATTTTTAATTTGCTTGTGTTTTGTGACTATGACTTGCCAGTTGTGGAAATTTGCCACTTGTGGTGTTCTATAGGTGTTCAAAATGTTTTGGATTTTGGAGCATTCAGGTGTTCAAATTTCAGCAATGCTCAAGCTATATTAGACAATACTATAATTCACTTCTTTAGGGAAGTGTAATAAAATATGGCAGAAGTGACATCAAGATTGTTCTAGGTCTACTCACTGTGAAACTAGCAGCTTCTATCTTGGTTTATTGGAGCTCTGAGCCATTTTATAAAATGTCTAATTACTCTGACAGAAAGAGAGACTACATAAAACTTCTGGAGATACTTGGTGACAGGGAGCACATCAGAGGAGTCCAATCTTTCAGGCATTCCTCCCAAGGTACCAGACATGTGAGTAAAGCTGTTCTGGACCTTCGGTACTAAGAGTTAAATGACCCTAGTTAATGCAATGCCTTGTTGATTAGAATTGTCTGGCTGAGCCCTAGCCAAATGATGACCCAGAGAATCAGGAAATACAGTAAAATGATTGCCATTTTAAGCTGCTATAGTCAGGAAGATTTTATTATACCACAGTGAGTAACCAAAAAAGTCCCAAGTCAGGCTGTTACTTTTCATGAAACACAATTCATGTATATTATAAAATAATACATATATTAAGGTTTAAAATATAAAATCAGTCTTTTTCCTGCCCTCAATCCTAATTCCCCAAGGTGATCATTAAGTTTCTTTTATATTCTCCAGAATTTTTAATAGTTATAAAGATGTGTTTCTAGTACATGTACTGCTAAAGCGAGCACAAATATGTGTTTCCAATTGGACTAGCTAGCT